CTCAGAATCTCAGAATTTCAGAATCTCAGAATCTCAGAATCTCAGAATCTCAGAATATCAGAATATCAGAATCTCAGAATCTCAGAACCTCAGAATCTCAGGATCTCAGAATCTCAGAATCTCAGAATCTCAGAATCTCAGAATCTCCGAATCCTAGAATATCAGAATCTCAGAATCTCAGAATTTCAGAATTTCAGAATTTCAGAATTTCAGAATTTCAGAATTTCAGAATTTCAGAATTTCAGAATTTCAGAATTTCAGAATTTCAGAATTTCAGAATTTCAGAATTTCAGAATTTCAGAATTTCAGAATTTCAGAATTTCAGAATTTCAGAATTTCAGAATTTCAGAATTTCAGAATTTCAGAATTTCAGAATTTCAGAATTTCAGAATTTCAGAATTTCAGAATTTCAGAATTTCAGAATTTCAGAATTTCAGAATTTCAGAATTTCAGAATTTCAGAATTTCAGAATCCCAAAAAACATTTAAAACTTTGAAACGTCTTCCTTCCGGATCCACCACGAACACATCTTCTCCTCCTATCTACACCCAATAAATCAAAAACAAACAATCTCTCCTCCCCAGACAGACACACAAAGACCAATTGACACACCCCATCTGTATGTCCCCACTATCGCCCTATTCCAAATGACACCAAGAAAATGATGATGTGAGAGAAAAAAAAGAGTAGAAGACGGGGATTACGCAACTGTTGCGTAAAAGGAAACACCGCGCATCTCCCGCACGCGAGATACCTAGCGGGGTGTTCTTTTTGGTAGCCGACCGCCCCGGGCGGTCCGTCGTGGGTGGGCGGATCACTGGCGGCTCACCGCAGGTCCTTTTAACAGTTTCTAGTTGGAATCCGTGACCATCCAAAGTGATTATACAGAAAATGATAATCTAGGCTTCATATCCCGGGCGGTCCGCCATTGGTGGGCGGTTGAGGGATCAATGGCGGTTCACCAGTGGGCCGCCAGCGTTTCAAACAGTTCTTTGGAGAAATAAGGAACCATCCAAAAAGATAATGTTAACAAGGCTAGAGAGACGCAGACAGCGAGACGCTCTAACTGTCTGCGTCTCTCCAATCGCTGTATCTCGACTGTTGAAAAAGCTAGAATTGTGCATTTTCAGCTCAGTTATTTTGATTCTTCATTTTTAAAAGTATGTAAAAAATAATGCTAAATCGATTCGTACAAAAACCAACGCTCTAGCTCGAAAATGAAGAAAGTTACCATTCATTTCGAGCTCAAAATGAATGGTGGCAAAGCATACCATTCATTTTGAGCTCAAATAACTCAATTTCTAAGAAAGATATTAAAAATTTGCAAACTACAGAAATGTTGGTAATATTCTGACAAACATTTTATCAGTTGACAGAAATTTGATATCTCTTCTAGAATTGGAGATAATTAAGCTTAAGCCAAAAGCGTCCTTTCCGAGTCGCCAACGGACCTGTGGCGGAGATGACGCAACACCCCTATCGGATGCTCTTTTTTGTGATGGTGGTGGGGATGGATAGATCAAAGGCGAGAATATGGAAATATGATATGGGTAAAAATGAAAAAAGAAGCAAAACGATATAGGAGGAAGGAAGGTTCCGGTAGATAGAGAAAGAAATTTGTAAGGGACCCGCAAAAGAATCTCGACATGAAAAATGGTAATATTCCTAGGATTTCAGAATTTCAGAATTTCAGAACCTCAAAATATTATATTTTGAGAATATCAGAATATCAGAATTTTAGAATTTCAGAATATCAGAATCTCAGAATCTCAGAATATCAGAATCTCAGAATCTCAGAATCTCAGAATCTCAGAATCTCAGAATTTCAGAATTTCAGAATTTCAGAATTTCAGAATTTCAGAATTTCAGAATTTCAGAATTTCAGAATTTCAGAATTTCAGAATTTCAGAATTTCAGAATTTCAGAATTTCAGAATTTCAGAATTTCAGAATTTCAGAATTTCAGAATTTCAGAATTTCAGAATTTCAGAATTTCAGAATTTCAGAATTTCAGAATTTCAGAATTTCAGAACCTCAAAATATTAGATTTTGAGAATATCAGAATATCAGAATTTTAGAATTTCAGAATTTCAGAATTTCAGAATTTCGGAATTTCAGAATTTCAGAATTTCAGAATTTCAGAATTTCAGAATTTCAGAATCCCAGAATCTCAGAATCTCAGAGGCCACAAACTCTGAAAATTTGAAAAAAAAAACTTTTTAAAAATTCAAAAATCTGATAAAAAGCAAAGAGTTGGAAATTTGTAAGGGACCCGCAAAAGAATCTCGACATGAAAAATGGTAATATTCCTAGGATTTCAGAATTTCAGAATTTCAGAACCTCAAAATATTATATTTTGAGAATATCAGAATATCAGAATTTTAGAATTTCAGAATATCAGAATCTCAGAATATCAGAATCTCAGAATCTCAGAATCTCAGAATCTCAGAATCTCAGAATTTCAGAATTTCAGAATTTCAGAATTTCAGAATTTCAGAATTTCAGAATTTCAGAATTTCAGAATTTCAGAATTTCAGAATTTCAGAATTTCAGAATTTCAGAATTTCAGAATTTCAGAATTTCAGAATTTCAGAATTTCAGAATTTCAGAATTTCAGAATTTCAGAATTTCAGAATTTCAGAATTTCAGAATTTCAGAATTTCAGAATTTCAGAATTTCAGAATTTCAGAATTTCAGAACCTCAAAATATTAGATTTTGAGAATATCAGAATATCAGAATTTTAGAATTTCAGAATTTCAGAATTTCGGAATTTCAGAATTTCAGAATTTCAGAATTTCAGAATTTCAGAATTTCAGAATCCCAGAATCTCAGAATCTCAGAGGCCACAAACTCTGAAAATTTGAAAAAAAAAACTTTTTAAAAATTCAAAAATCTGATAAAAAGCAAAGAGTTGGACTGGGCTAAAAATGCTTTTAAAAATCCCAAAAAAAGTACCAAATGCTCGAAAATAATCAAAAGAGCCCAAAAACCTTCAAGATAGCTTGGAAAAACCCAAATAAACTTTTCGAAAAATGCCCAAAAAAAGTTTAAAAATGCCGGTACAAGTCATTAAAATTATTTAAAAAGCCCGGCCCGACCGTATGGAAAAGAACCTCCTTTTCCGTTTGCTTGACACTACTAAAAATAGGGGGCGATTATCCAATTGCTCAGCTCTATTGTTATATAAGAAGGTGTCATGAAGAAGACAGACAAAAAGAAAAAAGGCATCTGCTTATCCCTAATTGTTTACTCCGGGTGACCTCTCCATTCGGTGTCTTCAACAAACAACAACTAAATTCCCTGGGGAAAATATGATTAGGGGACAATTTTAATTGGATGTTCAGAATGAAGGATATGTTTGAGTATTATAATCTATAAATGGATTATTGAATAAATCCTATTTTGGGGATTAAATAGGAAGGGGGTGGACCGGAAGGATGAATTTTGGAAAAAAAATGAATTTGAGATTTTTTTATTCAGAAGATCCGAAATTTAGAAATTCAGAAATTCCAGTGTATTCGGGATTTCAGAATTTTCGAAATTCAGAAAAAAAATCGGAGAATCGGAAACTAGAATATTCCAAAAAAAATTTTCTCAAATTCATTTGGAAATTCAAGATTTTTTAAGAAATTCGAAAATTCCACAAATTCGAAATCTTTGAAAATTAATATTCTAAAAAATTCGGAAAAATTAGAAATTGGGAAAAATTTAAAAATTTAAAAAAAACCAGGAAATTCTGGAACTTTAAAAAATTCCTGAAACTTAAAATTCCAAAGAATTATAAAATCCAAAACTTTGAAAAAGTCAAAAATTCAAAATTTTGAACAAAATTCCAGAAACTCAAAATTCAAAAAAAAAACTCAAATCCAAAAGGAAACCCGAGAAATAGGAAATTTTAGAAAATTGGAAAATCTTTTGAAAAAATAGAATCAATAATTTCACAACTTTAGAAATTGAATAATTCAGATTTTATTAATTTCAGATAATTCAAAGTTTTGGAAATCTCAGGAAATTCAGATATTCAGAACCTTTGAAGTTGGGAAATTTAGATATTCAAAAACTCAGAAAACAGAAATTCGGAATGTCAGAAGTTTTGTAGTCCTGAATTTTCAAAATCATTTGCAACTTTGAAAAAATAAATATTTCAGATTAAAATATTTTGGAATGTTGAAATTTTAAGATACTACAATTTCGAGATTTCCGAAATTTTCGAATTTTTGGACTTCAAATTTCTAAAATTCAAAGCTCACGAATTTGTGAACTTCTTGGAAAAACTTAAATTCCTAGACCTCGAACATGACCATAAATCAGCATCTTGCCGCAAAACAAAAAGAGAAAAATTTCCAATAAATAAGGTTTAATTGATTCAGCCACCCCTTTCGGACCTCCCTCTGGAGAAGGGCGTACTAAGCGGATTCTTAAGAGGGTGTCACCTAAAAAAAGTGGAATTTCAAAAAGGCGATGATGGGTTTAGAGGCAGATGTTCAAAGGAAAAGGACATTGTCTTATATGGCGTGTGTATTTTCACATTTTTCTTCTCA